CCGCCGCCGCCGCCGCCGCTGCCACCACCGCCGCCGCCGCCGCCGCCTCCGCCGCCGGTACCGCCGCCACCCCCCGCGCCGCTGCCGGTCGTCGAGGCGGACAGAGACTTCCCTGATGCGCCGAAAAGTCAAAGTTCACGAGGGCTTGAATTGGTCTCGGAGGTTGGGCCGAATGGGTCTAAATGTTTCAGCCTCGCGCGCGACTGATAGCCGCGCGCGCAGAGTCTATCTTGACGCCCGGACAGCCATCTAGACACGTGTCCGGGATCGGGGAGTCGATCATGAGTCTTTTTATCTAACGTGAACTCGTGAAAAGTGAACACTCCCGAATGCTTTCAAGCTGGAAAATGTTCACTTTTCACGAGCTCACGCTAGAGGAAAAGATTCATGATCGTCTCGCAGTTCTATAACACCGTTTCGTGCCACGTGTACCGTTTCCGATAAATGCTAAACTCGATATCACGCCAACTTATATAGTAAACTAATATTTTTGTCATTAAGAGACCACAGTAAAATAATTTGTCTTATCACTTATTCATATTCTTATATCATGTTTATTTAGATTATTTATCAAGCTCCATATTGTGTACTGTTTTCGGCGGCATAAATTGAAAGTCATGTAAAAACGGCCCGGTGCGGAACGTGTAAAGCGGTGTCTACAATGAGAATTTAAGATTTAAACTTGAACCATTAAGCATTATGAGAAATTGACCAAGAAAATGACCAAAGTTGAATGTGAGAAGAATAATCAACTGCGATTAATCAATTTCTTGCGACTTAGGCGTTAAAGCTTCAACTTTAAACCTTAAATTCTCACTGTAGACACCGCTTTAAAAAAGTCTTTTGAGATGACAAAAGAATGTAAGATCAATGGTGAGCACAATGACGATTTTACGTTCGAGCTTCGATTGTTTCTCTTCGGTGACTGAATCGAAGCGTGGGTGTCCCCTCGGATAATATCCTGTCTAGAAGCCGAGACCTTTTGAAAGATAGACTCTGCTTGCGAGGAACGCTTCCACGAGGGAGGAGAGTGTTTCATTTCCGAAAAGAAGAAGCGCATAGAGAACTTTTCTCTGAGAGATCTCGGATATCTGAGGATTCGGTTTATTAAACTACAAGATTCCGAACAAGTCAAGTAAATTGCCAATCTGCGAAATGCCGCACGAATACGGTGGCTGAGGTAGAATTGAATGTAACTAAAAGACTGTGTTAATAGCGCGCGTAATTCCTCGGGACGCTCTATTACGGTGAAAGTGAGTCTCGTCAATGTACGATTGAATTGGATTCGAACTACATATTACCGAAGCATCTGCGAAGCTTCATACAGGTCCGATTGAGGCATGGAACACGAGTCTCTCAATAAGTGAAAAGATAAGTGGCACCGTGGCATGTGTCATCGGCAGATTTGCGTGAAATGTGACGTTACGTTTGAATGTTACGTCGACGCTTAGCCCTCGGTAGGACTGAACGCGTTCGCGCTCCATTCTGCGGCGACTCCGTCAAGATAAAATGATAATTCCTATTAACGGCACATCACATGACGTGCTCACGTTGAAAAAAAGAAGAAAGAAAAAAAAATGAATCACGATTCACGTCTTATAACGGATTTTCAACCCGAATCTCACGATTTGATTGTAGCACGTACGATCAGCTGAAATTAATATATGGAAATCACCGTGTCAAGTCTCCAATGTATATTTATAAAGATTTGACTCCGGTTATGTAAATCGTGTTGTATTTATAGTTATACAAAACACGTCGGACAACCTTCACGCGCAAGTTAGGACTGTCTGTACGGAACATATGAATCAATCGTGTGAAATTTTCCTAAAAAACATTTCCGAGACATTTCCAACACAAAGGCTAATGTCAGTTTAGCAAGAGATATATACGTCGTATAATTATAGAATTATATACTTTATACATAATTTTTTGTTTTCATTTACAATTATAGGATGTAATCTCTCTCTTTCCCCGAATGAAAACGTGTAAGATAAAAGGAAAGTCCCGGAGAGAATTCCTTCGTTTATGCCATTGCGGAGGAGAGCACGCCGCACAATAAAGCGCGAAGAATATTTGCGGTTTCGCCTGAGAAATCATTATCGATGATAAGGACGTGGGATGGAAGGTGGCCTGGCGATATTAAAGACACGAACGCAATTAACTGCGGGTTAATGACAGTGCTCCGGAATGCATTTAGCGTGCCGGTTACGAAGCGAGAACCTAACAGTCGCGCCCACAAGATTACAATTCCAATTTAGCGCGTAGTTACTAAAATTATCTCTTACGTAATGCGAATGCATTCGTATCACTTCTATTCTTTAACGCATCGCGGCAGGTCGATGGTAGGAAATATTTTATGAACATTGATATATATATGTATATAAAAATATAGCACATATGCATACAAATGAGAGAGATGCATAAGTAATCCGCTGGAATACCGTCCTTAGTTTTACCTACATATCTCGATTTTTATTATCTTTGGAACGAAATGCATACTTTATATCCTGCTGAGATGATAATAATTAAAATGCAAGAGATCAAAGCGTCAAATAAAGTCAATTATTCATATGTGGGAACGATTTCTAAATAATGTAACCCGCGTCTTTGTATGTCTTTTGGTAAGTCGCTGTAACCTTTAACTTAAATATGAATATTTCAATTTATATAATTTCGAATGCCGCGAATTTACGAGTAAATCTGACACTTTCAATATTAAGGAAAATATTCAATTATGAAAGATATATAAAAAGAAGGAAAATCGGATAATGCGTTCAAAAACTATCGTCGCTCGTTCCTTCGAGCGAGAGTCCTTTGAGCGACTCCAGACTCAAATTATTTTTTTTCTTAATGGAAATTCGATCGGGCATCTGTTTTCTCATAACTTGGCAACTTTTCTCATTAAACACCTTTGTAACTGAGCTTCAATTTAAGATTCCGTTAAAGTAAAGTTTAGTCGACCGAAGCGGAACCTACTTTATATATCATCCGTGAAATTTAATTCCGACAAAAATCCTTTAATCCCCAGTCTCCGGTGCATCAATGATCCCTCGGTATCATTATACCGAAGCAATCGCCATTCATCCGGACTATTTACAGCCGAGAAGAGTAATAGCAGCTCCAGGGAAAGCGCTAGATGCCTCGCCGAGGCAGTGAGGAAGTTGTTATTCCCGACAATAATGAAAATACGAACTAATCGAATGAAACGGTAAGAATAATGCGAACCAAAACGAAGCGCTCTGTCTTCGTTTCTCTTCGTCCCGAGAGACTTCTCTCTCTCGATCGCCCTTCACGGAGGTCAATCGGAGAGTCTCGCTCGCTCGCTCACGCTTCTCGTTCACGATTTCCCATCGAGAGTCTGGCGCGTCGCCCAAAAGCTCGGGGAGCGTCTCCGCGCGCTTTCTCTTAAGGTGAAATTAATCAAACCAATACTCACCGGTAGTGACCACGCTGGGCAGCACCCCGGTCGCGGTTACGGCCGAGGGTGTGTCGGGCGCGACGGTGTCCGCGACCTGCGTCTGCGTCGGCCTGGGATCGTAGGTCGTCGTGCTGTCGACGTAGTCGGCGCTAAGCTCGTAATTCGTCATCGCCTGGTGATTGTAATTCGTATAACCGCCGGTGCCGGGGCCCGACGACGCGTACTCGCTACCACCGTACGTGTAGCTGTCAGGGGGCAAATGACAGGCCCGCGTGAGTCGTTCGTTGAGGCGCCCGCCGCGAGTCGACGTCAGCCGCCGCCGCCGACGACGACGGCGACGACGAGGACGGCGGCTTTCGTGTATTCAAGTTTACATCGCGAGAGCGATTAGATAGGTAGGTAAACGTCAAGATGCTCTTAGCAAGTTAGCAGGATTCAACGGACGAACGTTTCGTCTCATCCTACGTGAAATGTCTCAAAAGAGACGCCAGTACTTTGATTAGCGTCGAAATGCGAAATGCAGATGCCACATTCGTTCGTTAAGAGCCAAACCCGAAACTCGCGTCCTCGCGGTTTCACCTTTCATCTCTCGGGAACTCTTTCGGTCTTCCCGTTTCAACGATTTACTTGATGAAACCAAAGCGGACGTCGAGAAGCCGATTTCTGGATCGGCGCGATCGCTACGTTACAGTCCGTTTAATAACACAGGCGTGGAGAAGACTCTCCGGCAGACGTTAGAACTAATTGAGGGCCCGTCTCTAACGGTTGTTCTCTCAATTTAATATTAAGTTCTCCTACTCCCGCTTACCCGCCATTGTAGGGGTGGTGTTGATCCGAACTGCTTGGAGTTTGATGCTCGTACACACTGCTGTCCGGCGCCGTCTCCGAGGCCGCCCTCAGCTGCGCCCTGTGGAATCTGACCTCATCCTCGACTTTCTCCCGTTGCTTCTTCGACATGCGCCCGAATTTAACGGCTGCAACAAACAAAGCGGATCGCACGTGATCGTTAAGATCGAATCGGGCCGACGCTAATGACGATTTATTCGTCTCTCGCTGTGTCGCTTCGGCTCGACCGGCTATAATGAGGCATAGAGAGCGCGTTTTAATTCGTACAATCACGCATTCGGCGATGCAATCGGTGAACATAGTTCGGCGATAGAATGAAGTTTCCCCATCGAAACGCGGCCGTGCACGGCGCGAACAGTAACCCTCTCGCGAAGCGACTTTACACGCACTCGTTGCTCGCTCATTTTTCACACGACCAGCCTAAATCGGACGACGTCGAGTCGGTTTAATCCGGAAATGCGGCCGCGAATTCGACAATCCTGAGCATTCCGCCGAGCTCGCGGTTCAGCCCCTCCGACGCACTTTGCACAGATCAAAACAAGCTTACGTGCTGCGTATAAACTTCTTACGTAACCTTGTGGATATCGATTCCCATTCCGCTTGGCACTTCTCGTGCTAAAAGTCATATGCGCGACGTGCAAAAAATTCCGTCGTTATTCCGCGCGATTGTCCCTCGCGTGGAAGACGAGGAGGAGCAAAGTATGCGAACGAATGCATCGCCGGGTTGAACACGCTCTCTCTTTCTCTCTCTCTCTCTCCGTCTTCCTCTTTCTCTTCTCTTCCCATTTTTACGAACTCATTATGGGCAATTACGAGCGGCCATAGAGATCAGATATACGCGAGATGTCGACGAGGACGACGACGACGCCTCGTCGCGAAGCGATAAAATCTAACGGCTGTTCCGCGGATCGATCGAGATCAAGTCGCACGCGATCCTCTCCTCCCACCCTCGGCCGACCGGTCCCGAGTCGGTCGCGGTCCCTTCCTCTCCGCCGCGAAGAAGGCTCGGCGAGGAACGCGGAAGAGCCTCGCGCGCGGCCGCGTCCTCCTCGTCTTCTTCGGCGACGCTATCGTCGTCTGGTCGAGACGCACCCACCCGGTGACGTCACACGCGCGAACTATAGCTTGGGTGAGCGCGTGCTGCGTCCGAGAGCACAACACGCTATTCAGGGTAGTCGTAAACTTTATGTCGCGTAAGCTCCGCATAACGTCTCTCTCTTCTCATCCTACCCCGAAGTTGATCCTCTTTAAAACTCGAAAAAATTCGAGAATATTCGGTGGCGTTTCTTTGGCAACGATCGAAAATTAAAGGATTGCTGTAAAGCAACACGGAGAAAACAAATTTTGCTGGAACAGCAAATGTTTGTTGATATAGTGACAGCAAGGAGAAATTTGTTTAGGCAGCAAAACATTTGTCTGGACAGCAGAAAGATTTGTTAAAAGTATCCATTGTCCATATATCCAGCAAATAGCAATTAATACTCTTAACAAATCCTTCCGTTGTCTAAACAAATTTTTTGCCGTCTAAACAAATATTTTTTTAGCTGTCACTGTATTGACAAACATTCGTTGTTTTTAGCAAAATTCTTTTTCTTCGTGAAATCTGGGAATTAAAACAACCTTGATACTCGTTAGTTAATTTTCAAGCGAATTCTATTTAAACAAGCCTAACATGATTATAAACTTAATATTGATATTTAATTTACTTTACTTAATCATGCGATTAATTATGCGATTACTTATTTTTATATAGTTTTATTTATATACATCCTCTTAGTTAATTATATTTATTATATTTACACTTGATTTCGTTTAATATTAAATTTCTCGCTGATGTTAATATTAATTATGAAAATTCAGCGCGAGAGAAGGTAACGCCTGAATAAATTTTTCTCGAGGAGAAACTTACTTGTGGGTCAGCCGAGGAATTTCGTGCGCACACGCACGCACACACATACAAGATAAAGCTTTGCACAAATTTATGGTAATCCCGTGTATCGGTGGTTAAACCTAATTGAAGAATACCGGAACTCGAATCATCCCCGATCGCATCTCCCTAAACGTTCCGATGGGAGTCGTTTCAACTTCAACTCTCAAGGTTTGACCTTTTTCGGCGACACTCTCCGATATCACTGACATTTCTCGCTCGCATACGGCTAAGGCTGCAAGGTTATTACATAAGTATCAACATCGGGGAGTTTAATTTTTTCTGACTGCTTTGAGAATTTAATTCTCGCACACAGAGGTACAAAGACAAGCGTTTCTCAGAAATTGAACTTTTCATTATGAGATAATTTCGTACATTGCTCTCTTCTTTTCTCCTGGTTCAGCTTTTTATTTTAAACTTGACGGGAAAATACATCAAGGAGAATCAATTTCGTTTCATTTGCATTTCGCATTTCTCATGATAAAAATATGTCACCTAAAGAGATGACCGAATCTCAACATGTTCCTGAAAGATTTAAAACACACACGAAAAAAAAAAAATGAAACAAGACATCGACCTGCGTTATTTTTATTATTTTATTACGAATAGCTCGACGCTGAGAATTTTTCGGTCACGTCGCCATCCGGGATTTTAATATATATTCTCGGGTCATCCCGTCGTGTCACACGCATATAGTCACGCGCGTGCGTGTCACAAGGGTGGCCGAGGGTTCGAATGACGGCGGGGAGAGGGACGGAGCCGAGGGGATGATAAGGGGGATACCGACGTCAGCGGCTAACCGAACCGCTATCGCGCGGAGGACTCGGCGAGGAGAGGAGGGAGGAAGCGCGGAGGGTGATCGACCGAACGCGGATAAAGCGAGAGCGAGAGGACGGGAGATAAAAGAGAGGAGGCAGGAGCGAGAAAGACGGAGATGGCAACAGGAAGAGAAGTATGCACCGACCGACCGACACCGACCGGTGGCTTACGATGCACTTTCTGGCATTCTGCGTACGCGCGCGCGTGCACGCGTCGAGCCGAGACCGATGTGTGTTCGCTGTTTATCGCGCCGGGGGGTAAATAAAGCGATACTGAATCTGAAGTACCGCGTCGGAACCAACACCACTGCTACATCTCGGGCCTTAATCCTTTCGGCATCGGCCACCTTGTTTACCGAGAGTGAAGAGTCTGAATTTTTCTTTTCCCACGACGCTTCGCTTCTGCCCTCTGTCGCGAGTAAATTTCAATTCGAACGAGTTCTGACGATTTTAGACGCTACGATCCCATAAGTGATACGAGTAAATTTTCATATAATTAATTAATCGAACGATTGTACCAAAGAGTTACCAGAGAGTTTAAGACGCGCGTATAATTTTCTCTTACGTAAATACACTTGGCTTTCGAATATTCTCGTTTGAGACTCACGTGTGATTACCGTTAAGAGGAAAATTGAAGATTCTAGTGTTTACGACTGTTAATGACTAAAGAGTCTCTCGAGTGTTAAATATTAAATCTTAACTGTTTACTTAGGCCACGTTCGAAAATTAATATCAGATATTTTTAACTACTTTAATGTCCGCGAAATGCGGTTTCTCTAACGACGAGCTTCAGCCAAACCGCATACTTTATCACAAGCACTGAAAATATGATAATAACTACGACGGAAGCGACGTTTTTACTTTCTCACTTGAAATCGGTTAAGTGAAAACTCTACGAAGCTTGATTAATTAGCGATAAACTCGCGGTCATAACACGGAAAATCCTGTCGCAGCGCCGAAATCGCGCATGATATACCGTCGTCATAATTAGCGTTCTTATCGGCGCCGCGCCACTTTTTAATTATATAGTCACCACTTTTCCATCGATTATTCATTCACTATGCTCTCTGCAAACAGAGCGAGTAATTTTAACGGGCTAGGCTGAAACGCGCGAATCGCTCACCGGCGACAATGTTATTTACCCAGAGGCCGGATAAAAAAGCCCCGTACTTGATAATCGGCCACCGAAAAGCAGGAAATTGCGGTCGCGCCCGAATATCGCGGCTGAATATCGCCCGAACCGTGCAAAAGCGGCAAGACGTTCCACGTTGCTCGCCCAATACCACATGAAATTATTTATCGCAGAAGCAGCCTGCATTGCACACCTTCAAATTAAATAAACGTACTGAAATGCGCAATCATATCAAATAGGAACTGAATACCGAAATTATTTCGGTAACGATATTATAGCGATATTATACTGGGTGTTCCAAAGTTCCCACATGCGAAGTGTACAAAGAAATTCTTCATACTAGAAGAAGTAACTTTTTCCTTGGCGAAAATATCGAGAAAGGTCTTTATTTATAGTGACTTTTCAATGTTCAACATGTTCAACATCTTTAAAGCTGTCTTACATTAAAACTCCGTTCGAGTAAAGTCTACTCGAAAACGACCGAAAAAGATAATTTTGCTACGTATTCGTTCGCCCGAAGCTTAGCTCGCAAAGCCCCATATTTTTTCTATCGTTTGTTTCTCAGATATTATTGTTCGAAAGCAATTTTGATGAAGGAAAAAGTTACTTTCTTCAGTATCAATAATTTCCCTGTACAATAATTTGTTTCTATTGAATACAACGAAGTCAAATTTGTTTAACCTAATGTACAATTCAAGCGAATAAATTCAAAACACGAAATACATTCGATATTACAATGGTTACACTATTATTTACAAGAGCTAGGGAACAAAACATTCGCAACTTGAAATCACGACAACAGTCATTATCAACTAATACGTATCTTCGAACATAACTTCATTTTGTCAGCAAACTGGTGTAAAGTGCAGCGTCGCTTGTAATATGAACGTGCGAACGTTTCTCGAGGTCTTTAATTGCTTGTTGCTCGATTTAGATTCGCGGAAGTAACAATCACGGTATTACAAAAATAGCCGGCGGATATAAAATTTATGCCTCAGCTCTGCGAGTTAGATCGGGGTTTTATTTGCCGTACGATGTGGAAGAATTCGATGAGATCGACGAGCGGAACAAATTTGCGCGATCGATGCCGCTAATGTATTTCGTTTTAGGGTATGACGAAGAAAATTCGGGGCCGCGCGTAACACCGCTTTCGGAAATACCATTGGGACGGATCGTTTTTTGAGTGTCGCAATTTCGAGAGGCGTTTCTAATTTTTCACGTTCAGTCATTCGACGATTGCATCAGCGTTCTCTTCAATGTGCATTATTCGTCATCACAGGGCCATTTACTTTTTAATCAGCTGCATCGTTAAAGTGTTTGCTTTCAAATAGGTTATTCTTTCAACGCCACGTATGTGTCACGCGGGCAAAGATAAAAAAAAACGAATTCTACTTTTCATCGCGCGCAGAACACATATGCATGCGTATCGCGCATTGGCATAAGTTAACCGCTGTTGATGTACATCTTTCCGGGATACACTGTGTATATCTGTCGTGATAATCGCGCGACATGTCGGCGGTATGTTGCTGTACGCTTGTACATTGATAAGAATCCGGTTCATCGCCTTCTCGATGCACGCCCGCCCGCGCGCGTATCCGATACATCTAGGATGTATCTCCACACACGCTCATGTAACTTCGATATACGTCATCGCATTGCAACGCGTGACGTTGATTTTATATCATTTCGTCATGATCAAACAGATTCCCGCTTAAAATCGATGTTATTTGTCGCTCATTATCGTCGAGATATCACAACAAACACGATATACAAGTATTTCTTATTTTCGGGATATTCTTTAATTCTCTACTAGACATAGTATTGTGCTTATTCTTATCGGCACCTCTTCGACACATCTCACAAGCTAAAGTCGTCTTTGCTATTATATACTCGCGATATTTTAGCCTTATTCGTATCTTTTTTAATTAATTTCGCGTCTAATTTTATCAAGAGAGATGATAGATTTTAGAACTGGGGAAATCTAATTCTCTGTCTCTCTCTCCCTCCCTCCTTCTTTCTTTTTTTTACAAAATAAAAGAGTTATGTTTCTGAGAAAAAGTTTAATTGAGAGCATCTTCTATTGCGTTTTCAAAATGAAGACTTGCACGAACGATAACTTTATAATCGCCAAGCTCCGAAATAAGTCGCGTCTGTAACGCATCAACTACGACTTTAATCTGATCTGTTTTAGGTTCTTGTTCTTATTTCATCGTACAAGATGGCAATCTTCAGTTGCTAATAATTCGGTTCGGTTTCGCGCAAATCGAAAATTAACTTCTTCAGCGTGGAAAATAGACTGATATGGTTAACGTTAACGTTTCTACTCCACCAACGGCGTAATGAAAGTATTTCGGAACGAAATTGGCAGATTTTATCCGGCATAGGTTTTCATTCTTCCGCCGGTGCGCGTCCGTAAATTGAACAAACAATTTATAAAAAAGCTCGTGCTTACATAATTCTATTAAAATAACTAAGTCCACCGCGCTAATTAATATCGTATTTTTCGCGATGAATTTCCGACAATCGATATGTTGATTTCAATATTCAGTTCGAATTCAAAATTTCAATCCTCGATCAATTCGATTCAATGTTGCGTTAATCAATTCGATGTTTCCCATCAAATTAAAAGCGAATTACTTAGAAGATGATGCGCGTTATAAACGAGGGATAACGATTTATTCGAGGCAACCGATCGTATTTTTTTTGCCGGTCTATCTAAAAGCAAAACATTCAAAAATATGGAAATTAGACGGCGCTTCCTGTGCGACGTACGTTCGTTGGCGGCAATAAATTGTGAGGAGACCTCGGTAATGGAAGAAGAGTCAACACAGTGCAGGGACTTTGTTCGTGTCTAGGGCTGCCACCTCGATCATCGCGTTTCCGACCGGCTTCGTGCCGATAGGCTTTATCCGCGCGCGCGCGCGTCCACCCACGAGGCATCTTCCGTCCCGTCTCGATTCGTCTTGACGGCCTTGTCTATTAATATCGCAGCCGCCTTCGAGAATAGGCTTCGGACAGCGTATACAAACGCGGCGGTTTAACGCGCCGAAGACAGTTCGCGGCTCGCTCCGATAAGGTGCAGCGATGACTCGTCGCGGGGAGAGGAGACGGATCCTGATAAGGGGTCGTGCACCCCGGCTTTGGCACGCGTAGCTTCTTGCAGCAATCCGCGTTTATATAGCCGCCTTCGTCGTCATCCGCCGACGTTCCTCCGGATTTTTTTACGCGGAACGCTCGATCTCGCGTCGTTACTTAGCGGAGTGCTCGGTTACGTTACGCAATAATTCAGAATCACGAATTTATTTATTTATTTAATTACTCGTTTTTATGTGTTATTTAATTTATTATCGATACCCCGAAATTGAAAATAAAAAGTTAAGGCGTGGAAATTTTTATGTGCAATATCGCATAATGCATATAATATTTCATTTAAATTCGAAATCGTCATATATAAAAATATATCAAAAAATATAATGTCATAATAGATTAAATTAAAAAAATATATATTAAAAGTTTGCTATATATATATATATATATATATATATGTATAAATTATTAAAAAAGTTGATGACCCGATGATCTACGTTGCGCACGCATATTTTCGATCGCTTTTAAATAATAGATGGAATGTAATTGCATCGAACAAAAATAACCGCGCCGAACTTGCGCATTTTACTGCGACCTCTATACTTTGTTCCCATCTCATTATTCGTTTATATTACATTACTATCTGCGTCGAATAAATATCGGGCATCGGTGCTATTCGCATGTCACGATATCGCGCTCGAGTTGTGATAGTCCTTCGAACAAAGAAGCTTTTTAAAGCGCTAGTACGACTATATGTTTCCGAGCTTGTCTCTAGAACTCTATCTCGGAAAATTTGTTTACAATAACACGCTACTGGTGTCCGATGTAGATACAACTTCAGATCGCTCGATTTCACTTTGCCAGTCGAGTATAAAGCAGGATAATAATTTTTTTTACATATCTTTTGATTTAGTAGTTAGATACATTTTAGACAAAAGAAGTCATAAACTTTTTCTATTAAGACAAAAAGAAAAATCTTTTTATAGGTCCGTTTAAATACAAATAAACAAACAAATAAACGAATATTATAATAATAGTAATCAATATGAATATTTTATACTTTCGTCGTAAAATCTGTGATTCGAGTCATTTTCGCAGAATTCGCGAAAAATTCTACCATTTCGTTCAATTTGAGGATCAGGCGAAGCTACAGTTCGCAGTACACGTCCTCTCGTTTAGAGAATCGACGGGAATGGACGAGATTAGACTATTCGCCTCTCAGAAAGAAGGTGACAAAAGGTCGAAAGCACTCACCATCTCTTGACATTCCGAGGCGTAGGCACTTTTGCAACCGACAGTACTGGCACCGGTTTCTGTTTACACGGTCGACCACACAATTCTTGCTCCGCGGACATTGATAGTTGACGACCGACGACTGTGACCGCCTGAAGAAGCCCTTACAGCCCTCGCAGGTGATCACGCCGTAATGCACGCCGCTGCTCTTGTCCCCGCACACCTTGCACGGGATTATCTCGATCTGGGCTGCAACCATAAAAGAAACGAACACGTCAATTATGAGCTTCCAGGAGCAGGACGTCTTGCAAGAGGCTTCTCGCGTTTTATCGCCCGCTGCAATCCTGCACCTTTATTTCGCGAGTCCCATCAACTCCGAAGATTATACTCTTGTAAGTACGCACGCGTCCACAGTGACCTACTAATGAGGTCAAACACCTGTACATCTGTCAGCTTTGTTTAAAAATTCTCATTTCTTAAGATTAATACGAATCTTAATATTTCGTGGTTTATTGAAAAAAAAATAATAATAATAAAGTAAATTCTTAAGGCAGTTGATGTGTCAAATTATTTTTTAAGGAATCTTGTAAATTTTAGTTAGCATATTGGAATGGAATGAATGGAAATTTAATATCGCTATTGAAAACCCGAGATTTTACGAATCAACTGCTTTAAGCAAAGAGCTATCGGTAAAACCGCGCATGAGCTAAAGACGAACGGTTTAATAAGATAACGATATTTCCCATGATTATGAATGATAGATAACTCAGCAATTATGAATTCAGCGTAATTTCGACGTGTAATTAAATTTTCATGATGCCTTCACGGAAAAATGTCTCTCACATCATACGTTAGATTTCACATGTCACACGCGTTAAACTAACACTCATCGGAATTATACCAATCGTGATAAGCTCCGATCTTTGCTACGTCGCGCCTTTCCACGTGCCCGATCCCGGCGTGTCTGTTCTACCTCGTATCGAGTTGGCCTGCAGCCTACGATCGTCGAGGATCGCGCTGCCGGTGCCGGCGGGAGGCTGCGCGGATCCTCTCGATCTCGATCCCTCCGTCGGCTGAGGACTCGTACTGTCCGCGCCCCACGTAGGCCCGCCGAATCCTGACAAACTTTCCTCCATTTACGGGTCTTTCTTGCTGGTTTCATTTACGATCTGTCGCGGAAACACGATCCTCAAGATCCGCACGCACAATTCCACTTTTGAGGTCGTTCGTTCCTTCGCCGTCCGTCGAACGGACGGGACTTTAGTGAAATTTTTGCCCCTTTACCAAATTCACACGATTGAATTTCACACTGCGATTTGTACGGGATGTGTGGAACGACGCGTTCATTGCGTTCAAAGCGCGTTCGTCGAGTTCTCAATTAATGGTAACAGTGCTCACGAGGAGGTTGAAATTAACACGAAACGAGGTCACAGCACAATTTTCAGATTTATTATTACGAAAATATTTATCTTGGGGTAAAGCCGTTATTTAGACGTCATAGTGTCAAAATCAATGTCAAATTCATTGTTAAGATAGCCAACGTTATCTTGTAACGTGCACTGTATCTAGCATTGCAATTTGTTTTTTTGTATTTTTTGTTAAAGATGCGGGAGTATCTTCAAAATATATCTCTGCGAGGGAATTAATTTTCCCTGGAATGAACTCTCCGTGATGGAAAAATTACGGAAGAACTCTGAAACATATCGTACGGCGAGCGTTTGCGTTTGAAGAGCGTCGAACTTTGTCCCCCGTGAGTTCGGCTTCGCAAAGAATTAATTTCCCGGGCGAACTTACGAATCACGAGGTGGTCTATCATCCTCATTATCTACTGGAATTTGATCAAATTCCTCGTTCGCTTATCGACAATAGCGCAGATAGCGGCATTCAAGCAGACAGACCTATTGTTATCTACTTCAATTTCCAGAGGACACCGGAATGAATTGCATCATCACTCGACATGCATCTCCGTGTATCAAATTCACCGTTCGAAAAATTCCCCTTCCCGGAGAACTCTTTTTCGACACAGATCGAAGGTTCCTCGAGAGCCGAGCCTTACCTCGTGACGACCTGCCGAACAACAGAAACCGAATCGCGAAAATCTCCCATGTATCATCGGCGAAACGCACAGCGAGGTATTTCACGGTGCGTCTCGAAAAAGAGGAATCCAAGAAGACACCGGCGACGCCGGATCATGAAGTTCCTGTGGAAATCGGATCGGCGATTTCCGCGGGCCGGAGAGAGCGGCCTGCGGCGGTGCAGCGACGGAAAAAGCTCGACGTGCAAAGCGGCGTCGTGGGTGGAGCGGGCGCGGCGAGGGGAAGAAGGAGACTCGCGATGATGACTCGCACGTGTGCGTGTGCGTGTCGTGCGCGGAAGCGAGGATTCGGTGCGCGCGGACTGTCTGCTGGATATATCGCGCTTCTCCCGTCCGGCAACTCTAGCGCCACGAGCAGAGCGTCGAGGCGCTTGCACCATACGTACGCGGCCGAACATTACATAACCGAGAACGATGAACCCAGAGTACAGTCACCCGGCACGCTCGCATCTTCGACGTGCGTCATGCGGAGAGCGCAGCGTGCAACGGCGGCGGCGACGGCGGCGGCGGACAGTGCTATACCCGAAATTCAAATGACCGCGCTTCACCTCCGACTCACCGGTGCAACGTCGCGATTTCCTACCGCGATTCTTATTAGCGTGTATCCCGAGACGCGCGGATGCTACATTTGGTCCGATCCAGTTGCAGTATCTTTTTTAATGTAACTCGTCTCTCTCTCTCTCTCTTTCTCACTCTTCCCCACATTTCCGGTGAAATGAGGCGCGATCGAAGCGTTGTTCTAATTCCGACCTTTAATATTTATTATTTCGTGTCTCCTTTCTCTTCTTCTTTCGGATGCTACTTCGTTCTTCCCGAGTTCGACTCGTAAATCCGCGAGCGCGCCTCGCACGAGAGCTTTCAACGCGGTCGCGCGTTGCGTCGAAAGCAATTTTACGCTCGATTTATCTCAAGTTCTCACGTCATTGCGACTGTATTTCTGTTTCTTTTTCCGAATCGCGTCGTATCAATTTGTTACGGCAACATGATATTTGTGCGCAAGCCATGGCGGGTTGCGTCGTTGCGTGCGGTCATTTCCTCCCCGATCCGACTTCTACGCGCAGCCGGTCGCTATCGGTATTTAATGCAACGTTATCGTCTCTAAAAGAAAAAGAAAAGTATGAAAGTTTCAGACTCCCAGAAATTACAGACGCGTACGCAATTTGTTCATATTGCTGCGTCGCCTTAATTTCCTCTTCCACGCAGAGTTAGTCACTAAATACAATTGTCACGTGAGAAAGAACACGTTACTTTATAAAATTACGGAATTTTAACGGTATAGTTATGTTAAGTCGACAATTATTAACCCTCAAACGACAAGATGGATTTTCAACGTATCAAAGAAAGGGAGTGGAGTTGGATCCGACTCCATATTCTGTTTCGTTCATTTTTCGTCGTACAAAATGAGTGAAAGAAATGAATAATAACATGAAACATTCCTTGAGAAGAGGAACAACGCGTACAATAAGCTGTAAAATAAAAGAATCGTGGGATCGCATCCGATCCCAACCTTGGTAAGAGAATTAATATTACCGGTTGCTATACAATAAATAATACTGCACTGCTGAGTTTTTCGGTACGCTTACTATATTCGGCAACTGACGCGAGAATCGATAAAATTATTTTCCAACACTTTCGTCGTTACAATTTTCCGTGTTGCTGTTCGAGCGCGCTTAGTTTGCTATAATAAGCTTTAGCAAACCGAGTTTACAGTGAGACGCGGTTTATAGTGAGCGCGTCTCTCGCCGCGCCAAGTGTATAATAAATAAATCCTTCCTGGCTGCGCTATATGTAGCTCTTCCATGGAAACACTGTTTCACCTCGCGTACCTTCGCGAGAACGAGAAGACATTTTGGCAAGTGATATCGGTTATATATCTCCCAGATAATTATACCGAATTAAACGCGAATCACATAACTGTCGCGCGGAGATATCTTCCTCTCTCTCTCTCTCTCTCTCTCTCCCTCCCTCTCCCCCTCTCTGCAAGTCTCTTAGCACCATTATTATTATTCGGGATCGCGATCGTTGATCCGGACACCGGAAGCTCGCGGAGGAAAGGCTTTCATAGGTCTGCGATCAAAGATTTATACGTGTCGCTTCATCACGACGTACACGCCAAGTCCCGAGACGTGCGCCGTCGTGCGCACACCAGCTTCCCAAAATGATCTCAGACTCGAATTCGTCGTACCGCCGGATTTTTCTCGTTCCCTTCAGAATCCCGTTCAATTGAATCGCGAGCGGTTTCGTGCACCGCGCGGTCTCGAACGGCGCGCACAGATCCGCGGCGGGCCGCGGCGCAAGCGCGAACGAAAGCAGGCGTGCGTGTATATACGCGCGGGTACACGCACGTGAGCGCGACGCGAGCACGCGCGTCTCGCGATTTTCCACCTGGAGACTTTCCAGCCGCGCGACACGATCGCACTCCGCGTCCTCTCTCTCTCTTCGCGTTGCACACGTCTCGCGGGTAAACGCGGTTTATAGACACACAGGCGGAACACTCGCGCGAACTCGCGCGGCGATCTCTCCACGCGCGACGCGACGAGACGGGAGACGACGACGGTGTCTTGTTTGGCGGAAAAAGGGTGGGATGAGGCGAGGAAGGGAGACAGGCGAGCTTTTGCGAATCGATTCTCGTCGATAAGACGATTCGCTCGAATGCGACCGCTTCCGTTCAACGCCCGCGCGTCTCGACAAGGAGAGACGACGAAGACGACGACGAGGGAATTCCGGAGGGCGTCGCGAAGAAACTGGTGCAAAGAGGGACGAAGAGAAGAAAAGCGCGCGCGGAAAAACGGAGGGAGAGGATTGTGAGTGCGTGGCCGCGTGAAAACGTGGTGTGTGACGCGTGTCGCACAGCCGGCGTGGGAGTCGCTCGCGCTTATCACCACTCGCGATCGCACGCCTCGGCTAAATGTTTTTTTTCGGTCGGTCGAAAATTTCGGAGCACGAACGGGAAGAGCGAGTGTACACGCACGGTGCGACTGCGTCCTCCTCACTCACTCTCTTTCTCTCTCTCACTCTCACTCGTTTCTTTCTTCCCGTCGCGAGGAGAACGCCGTCCTCACTCGTGCGCCCGGAAAAACTCGCGGAAAGTTCACGACTGGCGGTATGAATATTTCGGGGATTTGACGAGCCGAGGCGGCGGCAGCAACGTGTC